TCCATGTCGACAGGCTGAAACCTCACTTCCACGACAAATTCAAACGCCAGACCTCCCCGCCCCCCCCAATCTTCATAAAAGGGAAGACGGAGCATTTTGTTGAGGACATCCTTGAATCTAAACCCAAGAAGGGACGACCGGAGGAAGTGGAATACCTCGTAAAATGGGAGGGGTATAATGACAAGTTCAACTCCTGGGTAGGATGGGAAGGTATGGTGGGCTCGATCGAGCTCCTACGTAGCTGGCACAAACACCACCCGAGGAAACGCCAGCCATCGCGTCTGCAATGGGCTTCGTTGGAACGGGAAGCACGGGAAGATGAGGAGGAGGGATCGGGAAGGTAGAAGGGAGTAGAGGGGGGAACGACAACAATGAAGACACGACGGGGACCACAACCCCATGTTCACGACTTTCTAATGACAACTTGCATTGGAGGGCTCACGAGACCTGAATGCACGATGATTTTAATCTCATTGGTTTTCACACAATACGACGAAGGTTTTGATTACTCAACAAAAAGAAAAGAACAGGCAAGCATAATATTTAACAGAGGTACAAAAAGGGGAATGGGACGAAAACTACAAAAGGGATGCTACAACGACTCCTCCTTGACAATTCCCTGACCCACCGCCAACTCGGTACCTTCCCTCGCCACAGCAATCCTACCGGCATAAGCCTCCTCAGTCTCATACAAATACAACTCGTCATCGTCACCAGTTAGATCGATGGATAGGCTGGCGACGGACCCAAAAAGGAGGGGCAGAACTGGGGAACGAGGAGGAGGAGAAGGGGAGGTCGGTGACTCCTGCTCCGACAGGAACAGAGGGACTGGGGGATGGGAACCAGCAGAGGGAGAGGACACCTGGACAATCGGCGCTTCAACGGACTGCTCGACGGTTGCCTCGCCTGACGACTCGGGAACTGGCCCCATTGATGACATGGGGACTGGAGGATCAGGAACAGGCAGCGGGGTGTCAGTGATGTGGTGCATGTACTGCAACATTAATTGCTCCCAGTCCAGCATCAATTGGTCGTCACTGGGGATCGCAGGAACCAGATCGTCCCACCGTCCCGCACCCCCTCGGTGAGGGAGAGCCGTTGACAAAGATAACATACGGCGATGAAGGGGAGGTTCCAACGAGTCGGGAGGGGGGCTAGTGAATCCGGCGTGTTGAGCAGCAGTCAAAAAGGGACGATCACTGTCAAAACGGGAGTTCTCCAACATCAGGGTGTAAAGACCCTCGTCTTGGTCGACAGCGTTGTTAAAGAACCACTGGATGCTGCTAAGGGACCGTATGTGGAGGTCCCCATGAACACCACACGCCGTTTGCATATAATCCAAGGCCAGCCGGATGTTGTGCTCCATAACGTCGGGATCCTTGGTTTCCAGAGCACGACAAAGGAAGGCAACGACCGCTTCAATGATCGCACCAATGTAACAGTTGTGATGGTGAAGTACGGTGGCAGGATCAGAGCGATAGAGGCAGTGGGCGAGAGTAGCAACACGACGAAGGTCCGCCCGAACCTTGACGAGGTCCCCTTCGAGTTGTGAGAGAGGAGGGAGGACCACCTCGTAATAGCCCTCATCGGGATACTCTTTAATCATACGCTCGACGAAAGCAGCACGACCACGAGTGCGATGGACCTCCTCCTGAAGCTCCTCCAAATGAGCACGTTGGCAAGTCGAAAGGGCATTGCCCTCATCCGTAATACTGTGTTGATACAGCAGAGCAGTCGTCAACTCGGAAATCCTACGGGAGGAAGTGGAAAGCTTCCCCGTTGCGTCATCCCGATCCTTCTTGGTGATACGAAGTTCTTCCTCCACTTTTTGGAAACGCTCTAGAAGACTCTGTAATGGGAAGGTTAGACAAACGATAGAGTGAGGACTGTATTCCTACAACTTACCTGGTCAGACGGTCCCGAAAGAGCCCTATCCAGGGTATTAAACTGGTCGATGATGTGACGATACTCCTCCTGGCGCTGGAGGAACTCCTGACTGGAGGACCTCAATTGCTCCACCTCCCGTTGTCGAGATTCAAGAGCATGCGAGGTATCCCGAAGAGCAGAGGTCAGGGAGGAATTCTCCCGCTGTGAATCAGCAAGCTGAGACTCCAGCAAACGAACCCGAGCGGCAAGACGCTGATTCTCAGCACGATAAGGGTGAGAAGCGGGATTGCGGGGTACCAGGGCAGGACGGAGAATGGGAGGCATGGTCGAGGAGAGAAGATCCTGCCCTGTACCTTTTATGGGTGTTCGAGCAGGGGAGGAAGAACCGGCTTGCTGAACCAAACCAGGATGGACTTCCGCCGCATCCGCCAATCGAACCAAATCACTGGGACCCTGCATCGGCAGATCCCTGTTGAGTACCCCCATTAAGGAAGAGGAGGCAGGAGGGGGAACAGGAAGGGAGGTAGGAGCCACCGAGCAAACAGGCGGAACCACCAACCGAACACGACGGAAAGGCTCTACATTCACCTCTACTGCAGGGGACTTACGACGAGAATGCTTTTTGGGAGCATCCAACCGAATCTTCTTGCTGGAGGGACCAGCCACAGGCATAGGGGAACGATTGCGCTTACGTTTAGCTGCAACAGCTGCTTCGTCCCACTGCAAGGTAAGAAATTGCTGCAACTCTTGCTGATCAGCATCGACCGCGTCCTGCTTGTCCAACATATTCAGCTCGAGAAGGATGGAGATGGAGGAGGTACGCGCATGAAGCGCAGAGTCGTATTCGCACCAGGCAGTCAATGGAATACCCCAAGTCGATTTATGGGCAGGAGTTCCGTGGAGCTCTAAGAATCTTCGGCTGTAGGCAAAATCTTGATTACAGCGACGGGCGAAATATCTGTACCGGAGGATCTTCCCCAGACTGCAAGTCTTCTTGGACGAGCAGTTCGTACACCGAGGGGAGCTCGGCAACACCTTACATTTCCCTGGGGTCTTCAGACAATTGGTACAGGGAGATGCTACCTCCGCTAAAATAGGCCATAAAGGGTCATCCTGGCAGTAGGCCGACAGCGATTTGCCAGTATTGAAGACCGTTTCGAACAGCTGAAGCTGGGGACGAGACGGCGACTCGATCGTGAAAGCTAGCTGATCAGCCTCAACCTCCCCATCGGATTCAGGAGCCGGGGAAGGTACCTCTCCCAAAGCGGTAAGAGGGGGTAACAAAGGAGATGGTGTGCGTGAAAAAGGTCGAGTAGGGGTGGGAGACATCGCAGTTAGAAGAGTTTGACTCGTAAGAACTGAGGCGGTGGAAGAAAGGGAGAAGCAAGGATCTGAAGGACTTCAACAAGAAAATTTTCGGGTACCACGTGAATGTCAGGTGACTGCCCAGAAAAACGCGCCTACCCATCGCGAGGGCGCGAAGGGGTTACAGGGGGGGGTAATGTCATGCCCTGGCTACAACCAGACCAGTCCCAGTAACCACCACACGTTGCCATACATCCTACCCACCTCCTGTATGTCCTCCGCACCTCCCCAAGTACCACCAGACACCTCCCCAAGTATTTCTGACGCAACTACCCAAACGTCCTTCACCCCGACACGCGTATGAAAGCCCTCTAGCCGATAACCCCTTTAAGTATTAATCTCGATTACCTCCCTCCCTCCGATTAGCTACCTCATGCCTCCAGATGTTCTCTTGTTCACTTCCCGTACCTATTTAAGTAACGCCGCAATGTCCTGAAGCCCCAGCTTGGTATATTTTGAACACACACCCTTTTACATAAGTCCAGTCCCTGTCCCTTTGTACCTGCTAACTGTCAAGTCCATGCCGCGGGCCTCCATTCCGCCGCTCGGTATTCCGAAGATCTGCTCCTTATTGTAATCTCACTCTTATTGTTCTTTCTCGCTACACATACCCTTTCGTTCTAGTCCCTCCTTATTGTCTTTTACTCTACCCTGCAGGTACTACTCGTATAGCTCCTAGTAGTTAGTCTGGCGCTCCGCACCGCTGCGCCGTTCCGTAAATATAAATACTGCCTGTACGCTACTGTAGTTCCTCAGTTTAATTATCAACTTAGATCAACTTAGATCTCCCTTCTCAACTTAACTCTTCTCTAAGTCTTCAGGCTCAACGCCTCGAAGTACGTTCTCCTCGACCTTAGGACTTTAACGTTCTCTGGTCCGCTCCTCGTCATCGGCGATACCGCCGCTCCGACCTGGCTGCTACTTAGCTCCTCTCTCTCTACTCTCGCTCTCCGGGGACTAACGGCGTAACGGCGGTGTTGTTAATAACTTCACTACTGTCCCACTCGTCTTCCGCACTTAGACACCTTGTGACTTTGGCACGGTTATACGGTGTACATGATCTTAACACTAACCATACAGATTTCTCTTTACTCTCTGTTTCTGTACCTCTGTTTCTCTCTACTTCTGTCTACTGTCTCTCTGATCGTCTTTACGATCGAATATATGCTTTCACTTCAAGTCTAAGCCTTCCGAGTGAGTCTCCGAGCTCCCTCGAACATTACTAAAGCTCCCCAACGCCTACCCGCTTTGGTGAGCTACCCTTCCCCAAACCTCCCAGAGCTCCCTAGCTACTTCGTAAGCTTCGGGACCTCGATCTAGGTAACGTCGAAGGTACCCCTCACGTCGGACTACGTATTGCTTCTCCGTTACCACCTCCCACACTCGAGGACGTCCATCCTCAAGCCCAGCCCCCAGGGACCTACCCTCCCTGGCATATCCCTTCTCGGGAGCTTACACTCTCGAGACCCAGTTGCATACACGACCTACTTGATCCTATATTGACGTTCTAGCGAGTACAACTCCTACTACGCAATATCGTATGGTCCCACACTCTTCCTTAACCTCCCTACGCCTTAGGGACCTCCCTGGACCTCCTAGGAACCCCTCAAGGGTCACCATCCCGTCGTTCCAGCCACTACTAGGTCATTCCCGTCCTCGGTCGCGGTTCTCGTAGCTCCCTTCGAGCTCCAGCCTGCTCCTAGCACGCTACAACATAAACCTCCACATACCAAAACCTACCCTAAGACCTATTTTGACCCAGGTCTTACAGAATTTTCTCTCCGCGAGTCGGCAAGCTGGGACTCAAGCAGTCGAACCTGAGCAATGAGACGCTGATTCTCAGTGCGGTAAGGGTGAGCAGTGAGGACGCGAGGGACCAAGGTAGAACAAGGAGTGGGAGGCATGTTGGAAGAAAAAATATCCGATTCTCCTCCCTTTATAGGCACCTGAGTAACCGGAGGGGAAGCATGTCGACAAGCCAAACCAGAATGCGCCTCGGCAATGGTCACCAATTGAACCAAACCACTCGAACCCTGCACAGGATTGTCCCTGACAGATACCTCCATGGGGGAGGAAAGGGCGCAAGGAGGAACAGGGGCAATAGTTGAGGTAACCAACGAACGACTGGGAGGAACCACCAGAAGGACATGACAAGGAGGCTCTGAATCTACCTCTACTCCAGGAGCCTTGCAACGGGAACACTTCTTGGGAACCTCCAAACGGACCTTCTTGGTAGAGGGACCCACCACAGGCAATGGAGAGCGGGCGCACTTTTGTTTAGCTGCGACAGAGGCCTCGTCCTGTTGCAGTGCGAGGAACTTCTGGAGCTCCTGCTGATCAGCGGTGACCCCGTCCTGCTCATCAAGCATGTTCAACTCTAAAAGAGTCGAAGTAGAGGAGGTACGCTCATGAAGGGCCGCATCGTACTGATGCCAAACATCCAAGGGAATCCCCCAAGTAGCACGGTGTGCAGGAGTTCCATGGAGTTCCAAAAACCTGCGACTATATGCCAGGTCTTGGTTACACTGACGAGCAAAGTATTGGTACTGAAGGGTCTTGCCGAGACTACAAGTCTTCTTCGAGGAACAGTTCGTGCATTGAGGAGAATTGGCTGGGACCTGGCATTTACCCGGGGTCTTGAGACAATTGGTACAGGGAGAAGCTACTGCCGCCAGGAGCGACCACAGGGGATTGTCCTCACAGTAAGCAGACAACGGCTTCCCAGTGTTGAATACAGTCTCGAACAGCTGGAGCTGAGGGTGAGACGGAGATTCGATGGTAAAAGCGAGCTGGTCCTGCCCGACCTCCCCATTGGACTTGGGATCAGGGGAAGTTACCTCCCCCAAAGAAGTAAGAGCCAGCAAGAGGGGAGAAGACGCGCGAGAGGTAGAGCGACGAGGACGATCAAAATACATCGCAGTAAGGAGTTTGACCCGTGAACTGAGGTGATAAATGATGGGAGAAGCAGGTATCTGGCAGACTTCAACAAAGAAAATTTTAGGTACCACGTGGAGGTCAGGTGACCTTCCAAAAACGCGTATACCCATCGCGAGGGCACGTGTCATGCCTCACCCCGAATTCCTTAGCCCATAAGCTCTCTAGCATAGCTCCCGATCTCCTCAGACCCCTTCCACGAATCCCTGAGAACACTTCAAACGTCCCACAGACCTCCTTACCGCTAGAACCACCTCCGCAACCCTTAGCTCCCCTCCATTCAACCGAATCATTCCACGACAGGGTCCTGGAACCCCGTACATGCGTCCATCATTCCATCCTCATGTACTTAGAATCCCCATTAAGTGCTCGCTTCATACCATGTCTCCTTGTTAACTTCCTCATACGTATTTAATCAGTCCAGGAGCGTTCAGAAGCCCAGCTTGGTATATTTTGAACACACACCCTTTACATAGGTCCAGTCCCTGTCCCTTTGTACCTGCTACCTATACGGAATTCTCTCTACTCTCTCTTTCTCTACCTCTGTTTCTCTCTACTTCTGTCTATTGTCTCTCTGATCGTCTATACGATCGAATATACGCTTTCACTTCAAGTCTAAGCCTTCCGAGTGAGTCTCCGAGCTCCCTCGAACATTACTAAAGCTCCCCAACGCCTACCCGCTTGGTGAGCTACCCTTCCCCAAACCTCCCAGAGCTCCCTAGCTACTTCGTAAGCTTCGGGACCTCGATCTAGGTAACGTCGAAGCTACCCCTCACGTCGAACTACGTATTGCTTCTCCGTTACCACCTCCCACACTCGAGGACGACCATCCTCAAACCTAGTCCCCAGGGACCTACCCTCCCTGGCATATCCCTTCTCGGGAGCTTACACCCTCGAGACCCCGTTGCATAAACTACCTACTCGACTCTATATTGACGTTCTAGCGAGTACAACTCCTACTATGCAATATCTTACGGTCCCGCACTCGTCCTGCACCTCCCTACGCATTAGGGACCTCCCTGGACCTCCTAGGAACCACTCAAGGGTCACCATCTCGTCGTTCCAACCACTACTAGGTCATTCCCGTCCTCGGTCGCGGTTCTCGTAGCTCCCTTCGAGCTCCAGCCTGCTCCTAGCACGCTACAACATAAACCTCCACATACCAAAACCTACCCTAAGACCCATTTTGACCCAGTTCTTACAGTAGCCAGCTGTTTGTTAATAAAGTCTTTAAGGGCGACTAGCTCCTTTTCAGACAAAGGATAAGTTCGACCAAGAGGCAGTGAAGCGCCTTCTTCCAAGTCAATCTTCAGATCATAAGGTCGGTGTTCAGATAAGGAATCTGCAGCAATCTTGTCGAAGACGTCTGCAAACTCAGCATACTCTTCTGGAATAGAATGATGAAGTGGAGGGACAGTAGGAGTGGTGAAGGAGCAGTTGGCGGCGCGGCCGCGACTTCTGAGTGGATAGCACGAAGAAGGATAGGCTCCATACCAGTGTCCTTGCAAGCCCTGTTAAAGACTGCAGCACTGATGAGTGCAATGTCGATCTCGGGAGTTTCCAGTTGAGCAGCGAATTGAGAGACCATAGGTTTAGACGAGAGGGGCTTGGCCTGTCACATCCGAGAGCGAGAGCGAGGTGAATCCCCAGGAGGGGTTTCCAGAATTGTCAGTGAGACCTTTGCATCAACGGTGTTGATGACAGAAGGCACAGACATCTGTGGAGAATCAGAATGTGAAGTGTTACGGATGTTTGGAGATGCCCAGTGATTCAATGGATTGTAGCGGGATAAGAAACTGTCACCTAATACTGCTTTACAAGATGGATCTAAATGTGTAACATAAAAGGGCAATAGAAGCAGCTCACCAGAAGGGAACTGAACAGTGATGTCCGCCATATTGGTAATGAGTTTAGAAGATAATGAACCATCAAAGAGACAAAGATTAACAGGAGAGATTTTGGTTGTAGGAATAGAATTTTGAGAAATATAACAAGTATTGATGAAAGAGTCAGTAGACCAGAATCAACAAGAGTAGGAAATTTGAGAAGAGCGGAAATAGGTTCAGCCGGTGCGGCCAAATCGGATAACGGAAATTCAGTAGTTAATGATATTACAAGAGATCATCCAATAGAAGAAAGAGCGGACACGTTGAGATATAACTCCCCAGGTGATGTAAGACCTGGGTCAGAATAGGTCTTAAGGTAGGGTTTGGTATACGGGGGTTTATGTTGTAGCATGCTAGGAGCAGGCTGGAGCTCGAAGGGAGCTACGGGAACCGCGACTGAGGACAGGAATGACCTAGTAGTGGCTGGGACGAAGAGGTGGTAACCCTTGAGGGGGTTCCTAGGAGATCCAGGGAGGTCCCTAAGGCGTAGGGAGGTTAGGTAGAAGTACGGAAGGTCCCGAAGCTTATGGAGTAGCTAGGGAGCTCAAGGAGGTTTGGGGAAGGGTGGCTCACCGCGTTGGGGAGCTTGAAGACTCACTCGGATGGCTTAGACTGGAAGTAAAAGCGTATATTCGATCGTATAGACGATCAGAGAGACAATAGACAGTAGTAGAGAGAAACAGAGGTAGAGAAACAGAGAGTAGAGAGAATTCCGTATAGGTAGCAGGTACAAAGGGACAGGGACTGGACCTATGTAAAGGGTGTGTGTTCAAAATATACCAAGCTGGGGCTTCGGGACGTGTCAGAGCTACTTAAATAGGTACGGGAAGTGGACAAGGGAACATCAGGGGATCTAGTGAACATGAGGCGGTAATCGAGATTGATACTTAATGGGGTTGCTATAGGGGGTCCTGTATGCGCGCCGGGGAATGTACGTGTGTCGGTGAAGAACGTTTGGGTAGGTATATGGTGGTACTTGTGTGGGAAGGTGCAGGATGGAGGTGCATGATGGTACTTGGGGAGGTGACTTGGGAGGTGTAGGGGAAGTGTAGGAGGTGTATAGAGTGTGTGACAACGTGTGGCGGGTACTGGGGCTGGTCTGGTTTTAGGCAGGGCATGACATTACCCCCCCTTGTAACTCCTTCGCGCCCTCGCGATGGGTAGGCGCGTTTCCTGGAAAGTCACCTGACATTCACGTGGTACCCGAAAATTTTCGTGAAGTCCGTCAGACACCTGTTTCTTCCATCGTCTACCACCTCAGTTCACGAGTCAAACTCCGTACTGTGATGCCTGTTAATCGTCGTTCCACCTCTCGTTCGTCTTCTCCTCTCTTGCCCGCTGTCACTTCCTTAGGGGAGGTAGTTTCTCCTGTTCCTCAGTCAGATGGGGAGGTCGAGCAGGATCAGCTCGCCTTCACTATCGAAGCTCCATCTCGTCCTCAGTTGCAACTTTTCGAGACTATATTCAACACTGGGAAGTCGTTGTCTGCCTATTGTGAGGACGATCCCTTATGGTCACTCCTGGCGGCAGTTGCTTCTCCTTGCACCAATTGTCTGAAAAGCCTGAGTAAATGCCAGGTTCCAGCGAACTCTCCTCGTTGTACGAACTGCTCCTCGAAGAAGACTTGCAGCCTCGGTAAGATCCTTCGGTACCGCTACTTCGCTCGTCGGTGTAGTCAGGACCTAGCATATAGCCGCAGGTTTCTGGAACTTCACGGTACTCCTGCACAGCGTGTTACTTGGGGTATCCCTTTGGACGTTTGGCGTCGGTACGATGCGGTCCTCCATGACCGCACTTCATCTACTTCGACTCTTCTAGAGTTGAACATGCTTGACGAGCAGGACGAGGTCACCGCTGATCAGCAAGAGCTCCAGAAGTTTCTTGCACTGCAACAAGACGAGGCCTCCGTCGCAGCTAAACGAAAGCGCGTCCGCTCTCCCTTGCCTGTGGCAGGTCCTTCTACCAAGAAGGTTCGTTTGGAGGTTTCCAAGAAGCGTTCCCGTCGCAGGGCTCCTGGGATAGAAGTAGACACAGAGCCTCCTCGTCGTGTCCTTCTTGTCGTTCCTCCCAGCCGCTTGTCGGTTACCTCAACCATTGCTCCTGTTCCTCCTCCTGCCCTTTCCTCCCCAATGGAGGTATCCATCAGGGACGTTCCTGTGCAGGGTTCGAGCGGTTTGGTTCAGTTGGCAACCATTGCCGAGGCGCATTCTGGTTTGGCTTGTCGACCTGCTTCCCCCCCGGTTCCTCAAGTGCCTATAAAGGGAGGTGAATCAGATCTTTTATCTTCCAACATGCCTCCCCTTCCTCGTTCTACGTTGGTCCCTCGCGTCCTCACTGCTCATCCTTACCGCGCTGAGAACCAGCGTCTCGCTGCCCAGGTTCGACTGCTTGAGTCCCAGCTTGCCGACTCAAGGAGAGAAAATTCCTCCCTTACCACCGCCCTTCGTGATACCTCACATGCCCTTGAGGCTAGGCAACGGGAGGTGGAGCAGCTGCGGAGCTCCAGTCAGGAGTTCGTTCGGAACAAGGCGGAGTATCGCCATATCATTGACCAGTTCCTTGCTTTGGACAGGGCCCTCCACGGTTCCCCTGATCAAGTGAGTTGCCGTGTAACGTTCCCCTTGCTCCCTCTTGTCTGACCTCCTTGTTTCAGAGTCTTCTAGATCGCTTCAAAATGGTGGAAGAAGAACTTAGAATTGCTAAGAAAGACCGGGATGCTGCTGCGGAGCAGTTATCCACCTCCTCCCGCAAGATTGCAGAGTTGACTACTACTTTGCTGTATCAACAGGGTATTGTGGACGAGTCTAATGCCCTGGCCACTCGTCAACGCGTTCGTCTGGAGGAGCTTCAGGAGGAGGTTCACCGTTCTCGTGGTCGCGCCGCCTTTGTGGAGCAGATGATCCAGGAGTATCCTGACGAGGGTTTTTACGAGGTGGTCCTCCCTCCCCTTTCCGAGCTCGAAGGGGAGCTTGTTAATATTCGAGCGGACCTTCGTCGTGTTGCCACTCTCGCCCATCGTCTTTATCGTTCCGACCCTGCTACCGTGCTTCATCACCACGATCGTTACATTGGTGCGATTATTGAAGCTGTAGTAGCTTTCCTTCGTCGTGGCCTAGACTCCGACGACCCCGATGTGGCAGCGCATAACTTCCGGCTGGCCTTGGACTACATGCAATCAGTGCGAGGTATTCATGGAGACCTCTATATGCGATCCATCAGCAGCATCC